TATAATTATTGTATGCGTAGTTTGTAGTTAAAAAATTTTGTTCTGTTTAGAAAGACATTTTCCAAAACCACTGTTTAAAAAAATTACAAATCAATAACTTTTTATTTAAAATAAAAAAGCAGCTTATTCTTTCTCTGCACAAATTTAATAAATTTCTACATGCGATTTATATATTGTTGTATGCATGATATTGATAAGCAATTGCCAGCAAGATAAATCCAAGTTTTTCAAATTTCGTTTATAGTGGAATATTTCTGTGCGGCAATATTTCATAGAAGTAGACGTAGTATATAAATCTTTCTACATATATAGATCTCTTGATTCCTTTTCCTAGAATTTCACTTATATATCATTTGTTTCGTATATTCAGACGATGGTAATTGCCACGTCGTCTTTGTTTCATAAAGTAGTTTCATGTCTAACGCTGGATGGCAAGCCACACCAGTACGCTACGTCATGGAAATTTCCTCAACTGACACCTTTCCTCTCCCTCCCTCTCTGTCTCTTCTTTTTCCCTCTCTCTTTCCTATCGCATTTCCCCTTCTTTCTTTCCCGTTCTCTACCTATTATATCCTTCCGTCCCCTCTTTCTAGTCTGCATCTTCGTCCCCGCCATTGCTATTTCAACGAGTTTGATATGCCCGGCGCTTTTTAGCCTCTCGTCGATGTCTTTAACTAACGGCTGTCTTTTTTGCTATTCTCTTCAAAAATAATTGTAAGACGACATAGGCGTGTATGTTGCTTTTCTATCTTTGCAAAGAAACGCTATATTATTACGCTAATTATAGGCATATATCTTGTAGATGGCCTTATATTTTCTTACATTGAATAAATTTCTTTTTTTAGCAAAATTTAACGGAATATAGCAATTAACTTGACTTTATATATTAAAGTTTCCGCTTGCAGGATAATCACGGATTGAGATACAAGGGGAGAAATAAAATTTTATAACTGTATTTTTCAAAAACATAAATGTATTATTTTGAAAAAATTTTTATACCCGTGTGTATATTTATCTTTAATATAAAAATATAAAAAATTCTTTTTCTATCTCATAAGAAAAAAATATTATTTAAAAAAAGACTTGTATCTCAAACTAAAGATTTAAAAAATTGAGCTCAAATTTACATTACAATTGAAGATTGTTTATAACCACATCATAAAATAAGCTCAGAAATTCAGTAATCTCCGGGAAATAGAGAGTCATGAAAATTATCTCGAAACACTGCACTGAATATTTCACAAGAAGACTAATAATATCTTCGAATTTATCATTAGAATTTATTAATCTAATTAATAATACATCTAATGACAAATTCTTTATTTAATTTTTCTTTAGTAAAATGTCGAAACAGTAATATCGTATTAAGCGGTTAAAAGAGAAAGATATACAAGCGCAAACTAAGTATGTAGTTTTTTTTATATTGATTTGTTTATAAGCTTATTATAAGGAACGGACCAAATCAAAATTAGCCATAAATGATGGAAGCATAAAGATCATAGAATAAATCCTTAAAAGAAGGATAAAACAGAAACGATTTGCTTCAATAATATTATTTATATAATATCATGCTTAATTCATTAGTACCTATTACTCCTCCGACTTCTGTTTTATTGTCTTCAATGACAAAGCATAATTGTACGAATCTTGTCCGAGTCTCGATTCGGCCAAACAATACAACTTAATAAAGAGGGTCAATGTTACCACTAATCAATCTAAAACAGCAATATGCGTGCTGCCTACATGTATATTGCGTGGCATGCAATATGTTTCTCAAATATTTTTCATAGCATGCTTTTCACTATTACATTTTCACTTGAGGTAACTCAACATTTTTTGAACTTATTGTTAGATATATGTGTACATATTCGCATTTCTCAGAGTTATCAAATTATAATAGTTAGCATACATTATTTTGAAATAAAATTTTATTTTTAAAAGTTTATTTAATTTTAAAGTTAATTGTATAAAAATTTTAACTTTAAATAGAACTTTTAACATAACTCAAATTTTTCGTCTTGCATACTCCAGTTTGAGAAGCACTGCATAATTCAGAAATAGCAGCAGACACAAGAGTGCGAAACTCCCACGCAACTGTGCGTAACGTACCGTGCGTAACGTACCGTTCATCGGGATGAGGATGTGACGTTGCTGTTAGATTTCTTAATTCGCTATTTCGTTGCTATCGCCGCCACTGATTCCTTCCTCTCCTACATCATGATAGTTGATAAGCGTAGAGCTTATATATGTAGATGACATACGGCGGGGCAAAAGAGTAACAGTCGCATTCACAGATTGGGCTTTGCAATTCATCGTTATTGGAGTCGGCATTGAATATTACATGCTTTGTGCAGAAAGAATCGCAATAGCCTCGACCTCTAATACGTTGTAATTTCATCCAATAGAGAGCCCATTGGGTCGATTTATGATTTGGGATTCGCTTATTAACGCGACTTTATATTTAGATATAGTTATACATTGACAATTGAACCGATTAAATTTTTCGTATGTAACAGTTCCATGCCAGATACGTTATTGGCAATAATCAAATTGTTTATAAAATTTACATTGTCGAGTTTGATTAGTTCAAATTTTCAATCATTGAGCGGAGAAATCTATGTCTTTGAAGGACAAGAAATATATATATAGATAAGATATATAATTCTTAAAATAATATGTAAAAATTGATACGTTTTTTTAAAAACATGCATCTGTGTATAGTTATATATAGTGTATACGTTATTACAGTACTTGTATACATTAGCAGAGATTTTTTTTATATTTTAAAGTTTATTAGATAATAGTTTATTAGATATGATATAAGGAAATAAACGGCATATGTGTGTAAGGCACACGCTTTGTAATATTCCAATCAATCTATAAATAATCCAATCTTATCTATTTGTATATACATCTGGCTTTCCTGAAACAGATCATTGTATAAAATATATTTCGATAAATGTGACTGTAACATTGGTAAATGTTATTTCAAACAGTATATGGCTTTCGACATTTAATGTACAAAGTTCGTCCATTACCGCTATGCGATGCACTATGCGTTATCTATTCAAGTTGTTTTTTACGAGAATATATACAGCCTGCAAAACTAGTAATATTAAAAACGTAATATATATTTTTATATATAGTTTAATTTTTGACAATCCCGACACAAGGGATTCAGATTTTAAATTGATTCGAAAATGGACAGATGTATATCTGAATGAACGAAAATTTGTTTTTTACATCTACTTTTTGAGATATAAAATAGAAGATTAATTACGTATGTATATGTATATATATAAAATCTTGAGTTATATGAATTAAGTTATTTCAATTTTATTATATTTATTTAATAATGTCATTATATCCATCAAAAAGATGTCATGGAATAACGTCAAAATATATAGTATCTTTCGTGACGTCAACCATTTGAAAATCGTCAATATGCTGTTAATCGCGGATGACAAATCGACTACGACCAGTTGTCGTCAAGCTGCTGTCACAAATTATTTCTTTGCGGATAACAAAGCGGTGTTAACATATTACCGTCATTTTGTATTTTTAGAATTCACATGAGCTCAAGACAACAATATAATGCTGTCGCATTTTGTTTCTAATTTTTTAAAATTATTTTTTTCGACAATTGTTGGCAACATAATAGCATCCTCAACAAACAATCGAAAGAATAAGACAGACAACACATGTCCCTAAAAGACGTTTAAAAACGTCTTAAAGACGTCTCATCATTTTATAGACATCTTTAAGATGCTTTTTAGCTTTTTTATACTGTCTGGAAATATGTTGCCGGACATAATTAATACGATTATTCAATATCAGTATTCATGTGACGATTATCATAACTCGGCCTTGTTATCTCATAATCGTACCGGCGTTTCCTCGCAAAACGTATATGTATATGTATATATTCCGCAACTAATGACACAACGATCGTGCGATTAGCCTTCAAGGCCGTGGCCGCTTAGTTCCCCATATCGCTTTATCCCTTCCTTCTTCCTGTTAGCTGATCAGGCTAATTTAAGCTTGCGATTACTTTCCAAGATTTCCACTTATCGCGTGATTTAGAGCATGACCAAATATTATTCATTAACAGTTTGTCACATGCTCCGAAGTCAAATACGTAATTATAAAACTATTCGCTGACTGCTGTAAAGTCGCGAGAATTTATAAATTATTTCAATAAAAAGAGAACATTTCATAAGCAAGAATTAATTATTTAAATAATATATTAATAATAAAATACACTTTTAATGGATTCTGCATTTAATACTATTTTAAAAGAATATCTGTTATATATTAGCGTAAATAATTATAAGGGTAAGATGGCAAAAAATTGGATAGTTTACGAGATTTTGAAAAATTATCTTAAAATGAAATTAAGATTCAAGACTTTTTTCTCTCTCAAAACCCTCTCTCTCCTCTCTCTCTCTCTCTCTCTCTCTCTATAAATTTTGTCTGAAATATTTTTGACGTCAAATTTAGAAAATATACAACTTTTGCCATTAAAATTTACATGCACTTTGTACATTAATAAAGTTATTTCACCCGACTTATATCGTTTTTACGATATAATATTGGGTACATATCTCTTTACCAGGTTTGAATTGCGCCATAAATAGATAGACAAATTTTCTGCGTTTTAATATAAAATAATGATCGCGAAGTGGTCAGATATCCTCTAATTCGCGAGCCAAACCGCGTAAAGGTGGCTGATAACGAGGTCCGTCTGTCACACCGCTCAAATAAATCCTGTTAAACCTGGTTAGCAGTCAGATGGTCGGTAGAGACGCGCGTTTCACGTGAAACGCGGACGACGCGTCTGTTTGCTCTTCCTATTTTCGTAGTCGTTTGGTATATAAAGAGTCTGTCCTCGGGCATTGCCAAAAGATTTGGCAACGGTAGTCGTGCTTTTTGGCGCCGCGCACGGCGCCGTACATAGGGGTGAACCGGACACAGTGATACGATGCGACATCCAGAACACGGTGTGGACATGCGATTTGATTCCGTCGGCCATAGACATTCGTCGTCGTGACATGTTCGTTTTATGCCACGTTGACGTCGATTTTCGCATTCTTGTCCGGACACCGTAGGTGCCGTAGGTGGGGTGTCTTAAGATAGACTTCTCGTCCTCGCTTCATCACATGCATCTTCGAGCTACGAAACAAACGCGCATGTAGACGTAGATCTAGACGTGAACAGGGTCCTTTCTCGATTACTTACGGAAGAGAACATTGTTTTCCAAAAGAAAGATAATTTTTTTTTTTTTGTGATACAATAACTCTTCGTAATTTGATTCTGCTCATCGGTGGTGCGTTCTTTATGATTGCATCGATTACAGAAATTGGCACGTGTCGAGTGTTGCTTTAGAAGTGTACTTCAAATGGTAACATTAACGAATGATTATTTTTGCACGTGGTACAAGTGATGCTTATACTTCTACAAAGATTTAATAGTGTGTTTGCGCGTGTTTATCAAGAATATATATTAAAAGGGTGAAGAGAGAGAGAGAGAGAGAGAGAGAGAAGAGCTTTTATGGAAACGAGAATGGGAAATACTAATAGTTCTCACGACGTAGAAATGAGCTCGCTGTCGGTAGTGGAAGACGATCGTCTCCACATTGGGGTGAAGATATTATATGAATATGTGTGTGTGTGTGTGCGTGTTTGTGTATACTCCAAACTTGCGGCATCGAATAAATTAATTTACTTTACTATTCTTTGACAAGAGCTATTCGCTGCTTTATCGAAAAATTTATTCTCAAAATATTTAATTGGAATATAAACCATTTCTTTTCGGTTAATCGTAATGTCAAATAAATTAATTTCTTAATCAAAATTATATTAAGAGTTTTTAAGTTTTATATTCAAAAAATTTCAATATGTTCAAGACATTCGCCAATGTATTTAGTTGGACTCATTTAATTGATTCACATGTATAAAAGCGTATGTTTTTTGCAGATGTATATTGGCAATAGTAATTGGCTCACATTCTCAATTTGTTCTGTTACAGAAAACGCCAATGCGCCCGATGATAGCGGAATACGAGCCAAAGACGCATGGTGTGAAAACAGAACTCTCAGATGTGATGCTTGTCAAGTAAGTCTCAAAATTCCATTAACGATATCAACACGAATGAACAGTTCAACGATAACGATTGAACGAGTTCATTATCTGCTACCACGACCAATCATCACCATTGCTTTTTTGCTAAACCCAAATGTTCAAGCAAACGTGAGTGAGAAAAAGGAGGATCATATATTGTGCATCTACATTTCCGTTAATATATGTACTATTTTTCATTTTCTGTGCTACATTGTATTGTATTACTCCGATTATTTTTTTTTTTAATTTACTTATTTTAATTTCTCTTGTTTTGTTGTCATTTCGTTTTTATCGTTAAACTATTCTAATCGTTAGTACCACACACTAATCGTGCATACCGCCTGATCGCTGACGTAGAATTCGTAGCGTAGTTGGCACCAGGGATGCTTGACAGCCGCTTATTGAATCTTGGACGAGTGCAAAGTTGTTCGTTTGTATGCATATAGATATATATATATATATATATATTGAATCAGAGATGTCTTAACATATGAATTTACACGTATCGGATCATATTTGCCGCACATATTTTTAAATATTCGCGTATCATAAGTGTTGGTTATTCGAGAAACGGTAACGCTGTTTTGAAACAAAAGAAAATTATTATTAAAGTTATTATTTTATTATTATTCGTTTTTTGAATAATTAACAATTATGATGCACAAATGTATATATTCTGAAATAGACACATGTGTACTGAATACGTCCCGATAAATGTGCAAATTCGCATGTATTAAGGCATTTCTGATCCCATATGTATATATTTGCTTATTGTGTCATGTTCTTTCACACAGCGCGAAGGAAAATTATATTTAATCTAGGACATACAAGATCTTTTCAACTCTCAAGATATAATATCAATCTGTGAAACCGGTTTAATATCTAAGTCTCTTTCAAAATTATCTCTTGTCTTTATTTCCCCTTTTTACTTCTACTCTTTGATATAAATAGATTAATGAATATAATTATTTTTGTTTTAATTTCATTTTATTTCTACTTACTATATTCTTCCAGAAAGATTAACATTAAAATTAAATTTTTTTAACGTTTTCAAATGAGTAAAAATTTAAAAAATTAAACGGCAATCTACCACACTAATAATTCAAACCGATATTACTGCAACAATGTCATATTATGTTTTGAAAGTTAAAACTAATGCCGAACTTATTAATCAATAACTAAAATATAAAACAATCTCAAGATAATTCTACCATTTTTATTTTATTAATAACAAAATACAAGAAAAATTATTTTTTGGGAATAAGCAAATAATAACTGAAGCATCAATAGCGTATCTATAATAAAATATTATCTCAACTTGACAAATAAACAACGAACAAATAGTTATAAGATTTCTTTCTCTGATTATGCATAGGATGACAAAGTTAACGCATTAAAGACCATAATTATAAACTAAAAAATTTTGTTTAAACATTATTCTTATTTTTTAATGCAAACGATCGATTTGCCTCGTAGATTTAGTGGCGTAGCAAGGAAATCTTTGGATCCTTTGCGCTCAAGACGAAACTCCTCTCTGCTGCCGTTTTACTTGTCAAAATCTATTGACGCAATAATTTTTTTATACGTGTGAATTTTCCTGACCTTGAAGCAGTTTACGTGAATTGTTTGCGCGGTTGATTAATCTTTGACACTTCACATGCTTATATATTTATACATTGTTACGGATTTCTTGTATTATCGTCAATGTATTGCGATTTACATTATTCTAATTTTGCTAAACAGGATTGTATCTGTTAATTGTTTAACAAAGACGACCGACTTCTAATTCTATTTAATTCTCACATACGCTCTCTTTTCATTTTCCACTTATTTATGATTTTTTCAAAGACTATCATAAAGTACCCACCAGCCATAAATTACCCCATAGCCAAATTTGTCAAGAGTGTATATATTGCAAACTGCGTGCTACATATTAACTAGAACACCGGAAGCAACCTAGAATGATTTGCCATTTTAACTAGTGTCGTCAGAAATGCAACAGAAAACGAGCAGGTCTGCATTATGATATACTGGAAAAAAATGGTATATGAATAGAATAGAAGTTGCCAGCATAAAAAGAATAGTTTGAGCATTGCACGTGTGTATGTTGGCACTCAATATTTCAAACTTATTTATTTTAGAAAATAAAGCAACATTAAGCATAACATGATGTTATGACGTGTTACAGAATGTATTGTAATTAGAAATGTATTGTAATTAGAAATACATAATGCATTGTAATTAGAAATCGTACTTATTGCAAGTATACATAAGTATGTGACAACATAAAGGCGGCAGAAATGAAGTATGCACTGGCGTTACAAATAATAATAGCAGAAACACAGCATGGTCTATTGTTATGAAACAACAGCGGAAATACGACGATATCGTATAAGATATGTTAAAATAATTATCTCATACTTATCTCATTTGTTCTAGTTTCTCACAGGCATATAAAGTTTGTAAAGTACGATTATCATGACGATAGCAGACAATACTCACAATTTTTGTTGCATTTCTGCTATATCTACTATATAGTTATACCATATCGGCAAGTCATGTTACCGGAAACTGTGCTTAATGAAAACGCAGCATATTCGAATCTACGAAATCATAATTAAATTTTCTGGTATACTATTGGAGTACACTGATAGGATTTCATTATCTAGATATATACTTACTATATAGTATGAACTATTTTTAAAGAGAGAGATCACACAAAATACCAAGAATAAACGAATAAATCTGTAGAGGAAAGAAATTTTGCCAAAAATTTGATATTTAATATTTTCTCGATTATTTCTCTCTCTCTCTCTCTCTCTCTCTCTCTCTCACTCGCTCTCTCTCACTCGCTCACACACACATATAGTGTAATAAAGGATAATTTGGTAGTTTTATTTATGTATACACTTTAGGTTTTTGATAGCGTAATGAATGTTACATGTATGAAAATCAAACGAGCATTATATCCTTAAGAAACTGTTCAATAAAAAAAATTATTACGTCAGTTTAATCTCATCAATTTGCATCGTACTATATTACGTGTATCATATATATATGTCTTATAATTTATATGATATCGAGTAACGCCAGTTTCTCACGCGCAAAAAAAGGCAGCAGAAGGAGAATCGTTACAGCTCGTTCGTGACTAATCGAGAATACTTTATATAGAGATCATGCGGTATGCAAAGCAGGATGTTCCTAGAAGATAAAGGATTTGTCTCTGTCTTTATTGTATAATATGTGCATTTATATGATTCCAGACAGTATAAACTCTCCGGGCATAGATTCGGGCTCTATGAAAGTGCTCTACAAATAATGAAAGAGAATAAAAAAAAAAAGATACTATCATTGAGAAAAAAAAAAAGAAAATATGACATATTATCGGATCGTTGCTTTAACACTTATTTTGATAAAAACTCACACAGCGACGATATACGACGCGACGCTAACTTGGATGTGACATGTAATAAGACGCGACAGACAGTTGTAAAATCCGTCGTTAAAAGCCGAGACATTGGCATTTGATTTGGTAATAGATTGTTCAACGTATGTGTAACAAAAAAAAAAAAAAAGAAAAAACGGAAACAAAAAAAAAATACTCGGCCAAAAGTGCAAAAAAGTTCGGCAAGCAAAGGAGGCTTGTTAGTCGTCGTACTGCGTCGTGATCTGCGCTTGGTCGTCGCAGTGATGCAGTGCGGTGGTTGCAGCTGCCCCTCTGTATGTATGCCTGTACCGCGACGCGCGTGAACTCTTCGTCACGTTGTAATACGTGATACGGACACACACAAATTCTAATCCAGAGCTTTCTCAACAGAATGTTTTGCACGACTACGAAGAGAAACTACCGCACCTAAAAAATATGGGTATCTATAATACCTATCTCTGTCTATTCTCTCTATACACACTCTTATCTTTCCTATTAATCTTATAACCCAGGGTTGGGAAGTACGTAATAATGCGTTACTTGTGACATGTATGCATAACTTGTTACCGTTACAGTTACTTTTTTTCGGTAACGGTAACGGCGTTACAAATTTCTATCTGCAACGGAAAAAATAATTTTGATATATTTTTTTCGAGAGTTACAAATTCAACAATTATTTTTATCGTTGCTTTTCGATTCTACGTAGGATGATTTTCATGCAAATAAACACGCATAAAGACACATTTAGCTTTTTTAAAAATTAAAAATTAATAAATTTGTTTATAAAATTTACCAACTTTTATTAGACTTTTATTTAAACTAAATCATATAACTCTTATAAATTTTTACATGTTTTAAACGAATTTAAGAGACTCGTAAATTAGCGTATCACGTTAGGATTTTGAAATTACATAAAGTTAAAGACGTAAAATAGGCGATTTTAACCATATTTACAAAAAGCCATTAAAAAATGTTTTTTTTTTTAATTTATGCTTACAAAAAATATTTAAACAGTGTAAATTTTATGTGTGTATATTATATATAACTTGGCCTTGTGATAGCGTTAAAAAATGTAACGCGAAAATTTTAACCACTCGTTATTTTTTAAGTAACGGTGACGATAACGAGTTACAATAATAAATTATTTTAAAATCAGCAACACGAGTTACTTTTATATAAAGTAACATTCCCAGCTCTGACCTAACTTAATCTAATCTACCTATGTATATGAACGTATACACATATTCTATTTTTGCTTCTCTCTGTTTCACACATATGTATACTCATCATAGCGTGCGACCACGCTATATATCACGCGCGCGCATATACACCCACACATGCACATACAAATTCATTACTCGCATAATAACGCATTTCCGATTCTTACTACAAATCGGAAAGATAAGACTCAGATATATTATAGGAGATGCTTGTTACAAAAACTAAATGTTGCCGAACATATATGTCCCGACATTTCTGATACTTGCCTCTGATACTTTTAGAAAATGAAAGTAAGGCAAATTGTGGTCCAGAAAAGGAGATGACAGCCGTTTTTAATGAGTCCAAAATCGACATTATCAAACTATATATATTTTAAATTTGATATTTATACTATTTTTCAGGGTACTATATAGACTTGCTGAATGATCAATAGCTTATGCTTAACTGAAAAATTTGCCTTAGTTGATTCATAACAAATTATAGCACATTACAGATTTAATTCTTCAGTACCGCATATATTTTTGGTACCTTTTACAATCATACATAGGTCATTTTTATCCAGCAAGATTTTAATCATGTTAAAATACTATAAAAAATCTAAAATAATTTATTAATAAAACTTTAAATTTTTAGAAATTAGCTACATTTTTCACATTTGATACTGCGCATGATGCGCAGCGATATTTCCTCTATAAATCTTTAAAATCTTCAACAAAAATTTTTTTCTTCGAAGTAAAGGGCTTTTCTTAAAACTCAACAGATTTTTTTAAATAAATGGTGTGGACACACATAACTCATGTGTGACTTTCGAGAGTTAAGATAGAAACCCAGTAAACAATTATATTAATGTTGTATAAGTACAATAAAACTGAATATTACAAATAATATTAGACAATTATTACCTTAGTTATCGGACATTTCTCTCACTCATAAACATAACAGTAATATATGATGTGGAAAATATAATGTGTCGGTCATAAATTTTCCACAGTAAACTCTGCTATAATATAATATAAAAGTAATAAATAATATATATAACACAAAAGTTATCTATATTATATATAATTTAATTTCTTAATTTCTGATATAATCCTAATAATTTTAGGATTTAGAATATTAAACTGATGAATGGGAACTTGTTATTTACTATCTATTTGAAGCGCAAAATAGATTCGATTAAATTAAAGCGTAAAAATTTAATTCCTATACAAATTAAATTCTCGACATAGCTTGAATGAATAAAAAATTTAATTATTTAAGTTATATTTCTGATATAATCCTAAAATTATTAGGATTATATCAGAAATTAAGAAATTAAATTGTATATAATGTAGATAACTTTTATGTTACATATATTACTTATTACTTTTATATTATATTATAAGAGTTTACTGTGGAAAATTTATGACCGACACATCATATATTCCACTGAAATCTCATTTGTGCCTGCTATCATTTGACTTTTTAGAGTCGTGCCTCTGCGATCGAGTATGAATGCAGAGAATGCAGGAATGGAAGTGGTAACATGAACCATTGTTTACATTGTGACTGCGGAATGTACAAGTTCAGCACTTAGTATTGTTGTTGCTGTGAAGTTTTGATAATAAGATGATATAAAAAAAGAAGTGTAACACAAGTAATTGTTTTATTGCTAATATAAATATTTCTTATATAAAGTTAGTGAAACATTAATTGAATGACACATTGTTAGACTATAATCGGCAATTTGTTTTTAGCGAAATTTTATTCAATTCAAATTGAATAATTTAAATTGTAATTGTTGGATAAAATCTAAAGCAAAGCTTTATAAATGTGATATCATCTTATTATCAAAACTTCACAGCAACAACAATACTAAGTGCTGAACTTGTACATTCCGCAGTCACAATGTAAACAATGGTTCATGTTACCACTTCCATTCCTGCATTCTCTGCATTCATACTCGATCGCAGAGGCACGACTCTAAAAAGTCAAATGATAGCAGGCACAAATGAGATTTCAGTGGAATATATGATGTGTCGGTCATAAATTTTCCACAGTAAACTCTTATAATATAATATAAAAGTAATAAGTAATATATGTAACATAAAAGTTATCTACATTATATACAATTTAATTTCTTAATTTCTGATATAATCCTAATAATTTTAGGATTATATCAGAAATATAACTTAAATAATTAAATTTTTTATTCATTCAAGCTATGTCGAGAATTTAATTTGTATAGGAATTAAATTTTTACGCTTTAATTTAATCGAATCTATTTTGCGCTTCAAATAGATAGTAAATAACAAGTTCCCATTCATCAGTTTAATATTCTAAATCCTAAAATTATTAGGATTATATCAGAAATTAAGAAATTAAATTGTATATAATGTAGATAACTTTTATGTTACATATATTACTTATTACTTTTATATTATATTATAAGAGTTTACTGTGGAAAATTTATGACCGACACATCATATATTCCACTGAAATCTCATTTGTGCCTGCTATCATTTGACTTTTTAGAGTCGTGCCTCTGCGATCGAGTATGAATGCAGAGAATGCAGGAATGGAAGTGGTAACATGAACCATTGTTTACATTGTGACTGCGGAATGTACAAGTTCAGCACTTAGTATTGTTGTTGCTGTGAAGTTTTGATAATAAGATGATATCACATTTATAAAGCTTTGCTTTAGATTTTATCCAACAATTACAATTTAAATTATTCAATTTGAATTGAATAAAATTTCGCTAAAAACAAATTGCCGATTATAGTCTAACAATGTGTCATTCAATTAATGTTTCACTAACTTTATATAAGAAATATTTATATTAGCAATAAAACAATTACTTGTGTTACACTTCTTTTTTTGTTGAGAAAATGGATGCATGCATCGGGGAAAAAATATTAATAATATCAAACATGATAACAAAAAAGTTAGGTAAAATATTAATAGACAAAAGTTATGTGTGATCGCAATTCCATTCTTTATACATTTTCTTTGAAATATATACTCATAATTTTAATATATATTGATAAATTATTTTAATATTCAGTTGTGTTATATACATTATTTATATAACATTAATATGATAGTTTACTGGGATACATTTTTTTATTAACTCACACCGATTTTAACAAAAATTTATTTAAAAATATTCCTTTTTTCCGACTTTGTAATTTTCATGATTTTGCTGATCAAGTCTCGATTGAATTAATCGAATAATTTGTAGATGAAAGAAGCGGTGTAGCATCCTTATAGAACACTTGTATATATACGTAATTTATATTCTATTTACGGAAATCGTTCGCTCTGATTATATATGCTGCGATATATTAACGTTACCGGTTTTCCAGATACAAATGCGAGAAAAATGACGTGCCCATTACGGTCACAAATGGCTCGACCTTGCCACTCGTGGAGCGACCGACCGATGAAGAAGCCGATCTTTACAACCCATTTGAACATCGCAAACTTGTCCATCCTACCTCGGACCTCGACACGCTTATACATCTGCTCAAGGGAAGCCTGGGCACAGGCATACTCGCGATGCCGATGGCTTTTCGCAATGCCGGTCTTATTTTTGGACTTTTTGCCACATTTTTTATCGGTGCAGTTTGCACATACTGCGTTCACATATTGGTTAAATGCGCCCACGTCCTGTGCAGGCGGTTGCAGACACCTAGTCTCGGCTTCGCTGATGTAGCAGAGGCAGCTTTCCTAGTAGGACCCGAGCCTATTCAAAAATACGCCAGACTTGCTAAGTAAGTGTGTGTCGTTGTATTATACAAAGGATATATAAAAACTTACAAAAAATGAGATTTTTTAATAATATATTATATAAAAGCTTGATGTATATCCCATTGCTATTATTTTATATACATTACTTCTTTCTCTTTTCTCTCCTGCCTCTCTCTCCTCTCCCTTCCTTTCTTCTCTCCTTTTTTTCCTTCTTTCTTGCCTTCCTTTTCTCTCTTTTCCTCCCCTCTCCATCTTTCTTTTTCTCTTTCTCCTTTCTTCTTTCCCTTCCTATCTATCTCTTTTTTTTCTTTTCTTTCTTCCTTCTTTACCATTGCATCCCCTTTTTCTGCTATTAATTTCTATACTCTCAAATATTATTTAATATTGTTTCAGAGCAACGATTAATTCGTTCCTGGTGATTGATCTGATCGGTTGCTGCTGTGTGTACATTGTCTTCATCTCAACTAACGTTAAGGAGGTCGTAGACTATTACACGGAAACAGACAAGGATCTACGGATGTACATGGCAATGCTTCTACCGCTGCTCATTATTTTTTCTCTTGTGAGAAATCTTAAATATCTTGCGCCATTTTCGATGGTAGCGAACATGTTGATTGCCACCGGTATGGGTATTACCTTCTATTACATCCTTCAGGATCTGCCCACCATCGGTGATGTTCCAAGTTTTTCTAGTTGGTCTCAGCTGCCCATGTTTTTTGGCACTGCTATTTTTGCCCTCGAAGGCATCGGTGTTGTAAGTATACAAATCTTATATTATTAAGTACGTAATAACTTCTATCATATTATATTACTGATATTAGATAGGTACACAAATGATATTAAATTCATACGATGATGATTACGATATGTATGGCGATGAATATATGTTAAATGCGGAAAAAAAACTTTAATTCTAATTTTTATCCATTCACATAAAAGCTAATCGTCAAATGTGTAATCTATTTCAGGTCATGCCGCTAGAGAATAATATGAGGACACCATCGCATTTCATTGGCTGTCCGGGTGTCCTCAACACTGGCATGTTTGTTGTCGTATTGCTATACAGCACTGTCGGTTTCTTCGGTTATTGGAAATATGGCGAGAACACCAAGGCCTCTATAACACTTAATCCCCCGCAGAATGAGATACTATCACAATCCGCCAAATTAATGATCGCTGTTGCAATTTTTCTTACTTACGGACTTCAGTTTTATGTGCCTATGGAAATTATCTGGAAGAATACAAAGCAGTATTTCGGCTCTCGACGATTGTTGGGCGAATATTTTCTCCGCATTTTATTGGTAATCTTCACCGTTTGCGTAGCCATCGCTATTCCTAATCTGGGCCCGTTTATCTCCCTTGTCGGAGCTGTATGCCTATCCACATTGGGTCTCATGTTTCCATCGGTGATCGATCTGGTGACTGTCTGGGAACTGGAGAACGGTCTCGGCAAATGGAACTGGCGGCTGTGGAAGAATATCGCCATCATTGCCTTCGGTGTTTTGGGCTTCGTTACCGGCACATATGTCAGTATACAAGAGATTGGTCCAACCACTCGTGAATGTTGCTCGTCGTCTGATACTATTTACACGATGAATACGTGCTAGACGCCTCTCGCGTGGACAAGGAACAGTATCACTTTCGAGTTTTTACATTCTTTCTATAGCGTAATGACTATGACAATAATAACGAAGATGACGACAATGACGACGAAGACATGAAAGAAGTTTTCACATGGTCGAATTCTCATTTATCATTATTTTAATAATAGTCAGGTTCATATTATCGATGTACACGTATCGTGTATAATTGGCGATATAAAATCAATCAAGGGAATTCGAAAAATGACCATATCACATACTCTCGATAATAAATAATTATCGTCACTCTCGCGCGAATATCACGTAAAATCATTATTATTTATAGCAGGATAAACGCCATTGTATTAGGTTGGCGTAAAAGATGTAATATTTGTCGACTAAAGTTGAAAAAAAAATTACATAGTTTCAAAAGAGTAATAAATTTTATTAATTAAAATAATTACATTATTGATGTGAGAAGACAGAAAAGAGTATTAATATATTGTATATTTTATCTATTATAAGAAACTGTTCAATCTTCCTTTTCAAACTCCTTAAAAAGAATCCGGATTGCTATTTTTATTTAAAATACTTAGTAATAAAACGACAAATCTTTAGCGCCAACTTAATGCTTATAACAATGATCTTTTAGGAACAGGATCTTTAAACTAATTGTTGTGTATTTGACGAATTTTTATATGTATAGTATAGCAGAATTAAATCTAAATATTTATCATGGTTCCGGTCTCCAAAAGAGAGTCCCAATTTGATCGTTAATTATAAATGCATGTTTACATATTTTTTTTGTAATATTCTTCATTTTATTTAATCATGTCATATCAGTTATATGAGCGCCCTTTTTTGCAGACATTACAACTGCGGGACGGTTTTCTAGAATAATATGATGTTTTCTAGAATTCTGAAATTAGAAATTTAAATTTCCATTATGATTGAAATGAATATTCCACTACTGCATTGTTTATTATTTTTACCGTGTTGTATATCAATAGTATGTTAAGCGAAGAGTCAATTTCCTAGTCTTCTACAAAGTTGATTCGACAATCTCGATATTTTCTATCTGCCTCTGTCATAAAAGTTCATTGCGACACGCAAATATATGTATATCTAAGACCTCCGCCATGAGGAATTGATTTGTAAAATACTGCGTTTTGCGACAGAATGTCGATTAAGTATCACATCGATTTTCTTCAGATGTTGTGTATCAGTATTTGACTTTAAGAAAAATCAAATTTTCATTTACATTCTGATTATTGCTGTTGAAATCAATCTATTGCACAGTATGTATTGATTTATTGAAAATTATATACTTTCAACTCTAAAATAAAACAAAAAATACTTTTTTCACACACACATACGCGCGCACATATACATTTCTCGAATTTGAAATCAATTTTTGAAATATTATTGAAAACCAATTTTCTTTCAAACAAATCTTGTATAAAAATATCTTATTTTATTTTTAATATAAAAAATTGTATTATTTGTTTTTTTAATAAGATAAGTATTTTTCTGGTAATGCTTATTAGCAGCTAATTCCAGAAATTATGATCAGAAGAACTGGTTTCTTCGGATGTAATGATTGATCGGCGTGATTCTGCTGCAAACCGCTGCTCTGTTCCTAGTGCATGATATGCACAAAATCGTACAAAAAAAAAAATTATCCATAAGGTTAATCCATAAAAATAATAAGTAGAAAAGTACGTAAGTGTAGTAATTTGATGCATGCTTGCTAGTATGTAAGTAAGATCGCGAGACATTATCGTGCGCGCTTTCGTCAGCAGGATAATGATGTTAATCGATTTTATTGTTGTGGGAACAGAGAAGAAGTTCTAAGAGACATGATTAATTCTTCGCATATTAATTTTAGAATCGGAAGTAAAAAGCGAATATTCAGATGTCATGTGTTTATCATTATATTATTTATCGGCAAAGAGAGAAGAATAACAGAACTTGTCCAAATTTATCAAAAATGCCAGAAATAAAAAGTTAAAATACTAAAACATATTAGCAAAAATAAAACTTAACATAAAAATATTGATTATTTTATTAATAAACTTGTGTCTGTGTGATGCTCAATTATTGATTTATAAATATTAAGAATAATAAATCTTTCTAAAATACGCAATCAAGAAGACTTAGGGGCCTATTTTGTAACATTTAATGATGTTATTACGTGTCATTGCGCAACTAAAACGTATCGGAAAATAGCTGCGCGATGATACTTAACGACATCGTTAAAAGTTACAGAATAGGCCCCTTAAACTTTGATTTTTTATAGAGATTTCCAACGCACTTTTCATCTCAATCTCTTCAAAACTTTTTCTTAAACAATATTAAAAGCTCGAATTATTTCTTTAGATCTGTCTGACATTGTTACTTAATCCTTAAATCTTTATATAGCGATTTTAACATATACATGGGATCATATATCTAATGTGTAATATATCTTTTTTATATTAACATATACGCGCGCGCGCGCGCGAAAACTCAGATTTTAAACTGATAAATGAATATACATTCGATCTTTCAGCAATTCATAAAAATGTTTAAGACGACAAATAATTGAAGTACGATAAAAACTACTAATTATATCCGAAATAAATGGAACTGTTTTGCGACCGGACCATCTTTTAAAATGATCCTCATCTAGCCAGGAACTTTCTTCGTTTTGTTTTAATTTTATAAGAAAATAATTATTTGCGTAACCGGGTCGACATCTTAGTCTCTCGTAACGGTGTATTATTTTTATTTCGTTTTGAGGATGGCGATACGTTATCACTATCATCCTCCGCAGTCTTCGTATTTTTCTTTTGTACGTATCCTTTTCTTTTACCTAAGAGAAAACAAAATAAATTCATACTGTTCATTATTTCATTATTTTCAACTGCATGTAATAATTGCTAAGTTATTTATAAAAAAATTACAGTTGCCAAAAATAATCGAAAGATCGTACATAGTCGAAATGAACTATAAACTCGGGATACTATAATTTCAATAATGTTTGATTCAATTCGTTATATGCAATTAATTATTTTTATCTAATATTTATTATAATATAAATATATAGAAAAACATTATTTTTTTATTATATATTAATAAATATAACAAATATATACAAATAAATACCATGCTTTGCAGGCGTGGCAGTATTTGAGACACTTTCATCACTGACATCATCATCATTATTTTTTGCGACTGATCTTGTATGAAAGATCTTTTCACTGGTCAATCTTTTTTTGTTATTTCCCGCTAAGAAAATTAGATATAAAATACCTATACATCTGTATATTTCTAGTTTTGAATATAAGAAATTAATAAAATCGGCTTTAATCACTCACATTTTACAATAGGTGGATTGTCTATATCTTCCTCGGAATCATCGGAACTATCTTCGTCATCGGTTTCATCATTCTTGTTCTTATATCTACTTCGACGAATACTTTTTCTATTTTTTGGCATGACAGACGGTGGTGGCATCAGACGGTTGTCTACTACTTCCGGATTTTCTGTTGTTTCCGTCTCTAAAAGTTCTTGTATTTTTTCTTCTAGCTCTGTGCAAGCGGCATTAGCGTCCGCCTTTTTCTTTGTCTGCTCAATGATATTTTGTAATGCTGTTAATACCGGTTTATAATGAATTTTTTCTTTCAATAGCGGTAAACTTTCGATAAGACGCCGTATACCTTTAAAAAAAGAGAGAGAAAATAAAGTTAATTGCCTCCAATATAAATTATATTATTGGGCATAAATTACTCGACTTACTCTTTCCACTGAATTGTAAGAGTGAAAGGCAGTAGGAAAGATCACGCCACTGTCTTTCTGTGGTAGCTAACTTAAATCTAGCGCAAATTTTATCGATTATGGTATCAATTTGTCTTTCTTTCTGCATTAGGCCGAGAATGTATCTGCAAATTATAACGTCAATTAAGCGCCTACAGTTTTTGCTGCTGGACATACTGAGCTACAATATTTACCTAATGGTTTCCTGAAATCGTTTTTCGTCGAGATTCAATTGAGGATCTGCTAAGCGCGACAATATATCGGGCACTATATTATACAGAGCGTTGCCTTTCTGGGCAAGTTGATTGAAGAATTCCTTTGTGTCTTGCTGTATTTGTTTATCCTCGTCAATAATGCAAAGGGCTAATTCTGAAACTTGTCCTTTCACTCGGATCATCTCCCTCATTATCAGATTCGATAACATACGAACGCATGTTCTACGCACGTTTACATCCTCATCTCGGAGTCTACAAACATAAATATTACTCAGTACGTTGCAATTCCGCCAATTTTATTTTTTTATAAAAGAAATATATATGCGTGCATGCGCGCATGTATAATTCATAACTTACAATGCATATTTATTTAAATACTATAAAATATATAATCAGTTTTATTCAATTAATATTAATCAATATTCAAAAAATGAGATATTGACCTTTGAAGGCCGATGAGTGAGAACCAATTTACCTTCCATAGATGTGCTTCGACCATGGTTCCACTTGATTGGGAAATCTAGTAGCAAGATCGCTCATTCCGATCAGCATGTTCGATCTTATTCCAGGATATGACGATCGTTCCAATATGGTGACTAAAAGTTGTAGGGATTGCTCACAAAATATGGAACTCACTGTCATCATTTTGCTCAACGCGAGCGAACTTGCGGCTTGTAGATTCTCGCTATTATACTTATCGGGATATGTACATACATCCAATACCAATGGACTGTAATAATTATACTCATATAAGTTACATGTCTCTATTATTCGAGTAGAGACTATCATTCTTGCGCGATTATCACTATCCGAATACATACACAAATTTCGCAAGCAAGCCATTTCCAGTGACGATCTCGTTTTCAAGCACGCTGTTTACGAATTCCGCTTCCGCGTCATCTATTGCACCTTCTAAAGCTTCCTCGCCGTTATCTTCGGTTACCATAGAAATCATCAAGTTTTTATTTCGTCGCGCACTTGATGAGACCGACGACGCGTTTGCCGATTTAGATCTAATATCCGGTGTTGCAAACTCAACTCTCGACTGTTTCTTGCTTTTACGCATCTTACGCACTGCATCTCTACGCTTGAGTTCCTTGTAAACGAACATATCCAGATGAATCATTTGCCTGATGGCAATATGTCCAATTATATAAAGCAATTTGGAGAGTATAGTGCATGACACACTCGGTGCTTCATTCGTTTCCTTATTAGTGAATTGACCCTTCTCGGTGATGTCCAATAATAATTTTTTTATCAATCTATCAGGTTGATTTGCCAACTAGAATTTAAAATAAAACTCTCAGCACAATATCCCAAATGTATTTAATTAACACATAACAGTCCCACTTACATGATATATAACGTTAATTGCATCCGTCGCAAAAGAGATATAAGCGTTTTCATTCGCGTCGATAAAAGTATCTATCAATAATATCAGGATTTGTTGGAACATATCGTGATTGTTGAAATATCTATATAATGAGAAAAAATCTTTTTTTATCGTCAACTCTAAGAAACTTCGAATTATTTTCCAATCACTTTCAACAAACGTTTACCTCAGAGGCGATTTTTCGATATCCTTGCTATTTTGTTTTATCTTCAATAACATTCTGCAAGTGTCTCGTGCGAAAAGAAGATCGTCTTTCGCGCGCGGACCTAATCCTATTTCTACTAACATATTCACATTATCGATTACAATCTTAGGTTCTGCCTGAGCTATCATCGTTAATATCATTAATGCAGTTCTGCTATTTATCGGTGACGTATCCGGATACTTCATGGAGAATTTTTCCCATAATACCTGCATATATATATAGCATTAATTAAAATTAGAATATTGAACTCACATTATAAGAAATTCAAAATCAAAATATTTATAACTTGTCATCAAATTAATATATCATTTGATAACAAGTTATAAATATTTTGATTTTGAATTTTTTATAATAAGTTCTATATATATATATATTGAGTTTATTATATATATATACTCAGTATTAAATACCTGCAACAATTCGTTGTTTAATTCCCCGTTCTCATACCATGTTACGATCAGTTGAGCTAAAGCCGGACTTTGTCCAGGTTGTAATTCCGATAGCAAATTGATCAAACAATTGCTACGAGTTACAGCTATTTGACGGGCTGATTGTTTGTCATTACTGATGTCGAGATAAATGTTTTTGTAGACCACAGCCACATTATTACGCACAGACTGATCGCGATGGAACACTTGAAAAAGGGCTTCGCGTATGGAACTGGCCGCACCAGTTACTTTGAATTGAAAAGCGGTTCCTAAAAATGTGCACGATTCAACCGCGTCGCCGGCACATATGGAGAACAACAGCTTCTCCGCCATCGGTATTGCCTTTTCCAACTCAATCGCGAACTCGAGACAATTCTGCCAAAGAAATATACAATTAGACAAAGTTGAAAAGAATCGTTTTATTCAATTTTTTATGTCACGTACTGTTAAGTAATTTATAACGCGCTTTCGCAATCTTATCTCCTCTTTTTTCTTGTTATCTTGCTCCGATTTACTTGCGTCAACCGTATTCTCGTCTTCATTATCTGTCAATCTGTTCTCTGATTCTATAAAAATTTTCAGCAAAAAGGCGAATAAACACTCCTCCTTTGCTGCAATGGAAAGATCTCTCATTTCAGGAGCTTCTTCCAATATCATACAAGTCTTCCATAAGTATTTCACAGCCTTGGTGACTTTTCGGTTTAATAATAATTGTCTCACATGTTCGAAAGCATGATCTGCATCAATATTCTCTTTATTCTCTGCACCTATATTAAATAAAATCATATATAAAAGATCTTGTAATCTTGCAAATATTTTGCACGACAAAAATAAAGAAGCTGTAAAGTGAATAAATGTGTCAATAATGCGTTACAAAGTAATATAACTAACATGGTTCATTTATACATTCCGCTTCATTTTCAAAAATTTTCTTTATTGTCGCTTTAATATCTGGTTGTAAAATATTCCAAAGTTCGAATCTTTGCATATGACCGCGTCCACTAGTACTTGCAATTTGAGCTTGCAATTCTTGCAATTTTGCTTTTTCTTTTTCTAACGAGTCGGAGAGTTCAACACGAGTCAACTACAATAGAAAAATATATAAAATCAAAAGATCAGTTTAATAATGGAGAAAAGTGATGCGTTATTTTCCGAAGTACGAATACCTTGGCGGCGAAGGGATTGCTTTGCAACATGGTACGCAACAACTGGAGAGCCTGTTTACGAACATTCGCGCTTTTATCTTCTAAGCGCAATGCGGTGGCGGCTAAAAGCTTCCCATATCTGGCTAATGGTACAGCTCCCTCGCAACATAAGCGTTGCCACACTTGAAGTACCTTCGATCTGACATAAGCATGGGAATCCAAAATATGATCCTCCAAATTATTTAGACATTCATCGCGTTGCTTTTTCTGTTCATCCGTGAGATCTTCGCCAGTCAACGCTTTTTGCACTACAATATCCAATACTCCAATCACGCAATTTCTCATAGTATAAAACTGTAAAAAGGAAGGTTTTTCTAGTTACTTGAACTATCTCTATAACTTTAATTATATATTTAACTTAACATGTCCCATATTGTTAAACTATTGTTTAATCAATAGCAAGAAAATTATGATATAAACGTGCCTCATTAGACAGGTAATCGATGACCTCGTCAAGAACAGGGATTATAAGATCGGGCTGCAAGATTGCAATGTTCTCGAGAAATGTGGATACATTGCGATTTTCCGTTTCACCAATTTCGCTCTGTCCGATTTCATTCATCACCTCTTTTATCAAACCTTTACAACCACACTCAGTGGCCATATGTACTATGCCAGTCGCTATAGGCACTGCTAATGCATCACACAATTTCACCAACTGTAGCATTGCAATGTACATGATATACATATAAATTATGTATTTTTTAAAACAACACATAATTTATAAATAATTTATTCAAACATATGTGTACCTGAATAATTCTCACAATGCAAGTAATTCCATGATTGTATTTTTTAATCAAAGTTCCAAAAATCTGTGAATAAAGATATAATATTTAAACATTAATATAATAAAGGTTGTACATATATAAATATACATGGCAATACCTCAAATATAGTTTGTCTTATATGTTTTTGCTTAACATCTTTAGTCTGTTCCAATATTTTATAACATATCTGTGCTAATGCCCTGTAAATATTACAGTATTATAAATTATATATA